CCCCAAAACCCCAAAACCCCAAAACCCCTTAAAAACTCAAAATAAAAATAATAAAAAGTCTCAACATGAAGAAAATTCCAACAATCAAAAAACAAACCACCAGTACTCCCTCTCTCACACCTCTAGACCTCCTCAGATCTCCTTTCAGCAACGACGGTTACGACAATCACATCACTGTGATTGACTCCATCTACGACACTTCCAAATAAAAATGTTATGAAGTAAGTAAAAGCTTTGGGAGACCTCTGGAACTGGCTTAAGGAGTTTTTAGCGAAATTGACCGTTTTGAAGAGGTCTTAAAGGATGCAACAAGGTAAGAAAGGTGGAAGAGCTTGTTTAGGAATTTCAACCCCCATGAAATAAGTTTGAACGTACTCAAAAAGGAGGAAGAAGTGGTTGAGGACTTAGTAGGGAGGATCACGAAGGAGGAGGTATGTTTAGCATTTTTGAGAGTGTAGGATAACATAGATTATGCTAATTTTGATGAAAAGGATAAAATTCAGTTTAAGAAGATATGTAATGAGTTTAATCTTGCATTGAATGTGAAAGATTTGGAAATCAAACCTGCTGAAAGTTTTGATAAAAACTGGAGGAGAACATGGTTTAGAGACAAAACTTCAGCAAGTTTCTATGATTATAAAAAGTAATTTCTAAACTTATTTCTAGAGTGAACAAAACCACTGCTAACCTGAAACCAAAAGCTAAGGTCTTTAATGAGACTCTTTTCTTGCCTACCCAGAAAACTCATAAAAGCATTAATAGAAAGTCAGGACTAAAAGAACATCCTTTTAAGGAAAATAGCAATTTTTATAAGAAATCTATCGAAAATTCTCGTAATCACTTTTGAATATTTTAGCTGGTCTTCAAAACAGTCAGAATCTACAAAAATCTACAGCTAGGGGAAACAAAGAAGAACACAAGGTCACCAGTTCTTTCGAGCTACCTCGTAAGAAGCATGGTATGAACTCAGACTTATTCTTAAACACTTAATGCTTATAGACAGGCAGAATTTGTATAAAATCCCTTCATCAGAAGTAGTCACTAAAAGGTTAGTCATCATGGTTCTAATTGCTAGGAGTAATCAAAGGTTAAAGACACATGAGAAAGGAAGAAGTACCTTACTCAAATTTCTGGATAACCCATCTAAAAATCACAATAAAAGTGTGAGCAATCAAACGAAAAAGTATTTTAATCTACTGATGATTAGCAAATCTCCGGGAAGAAATATAATCAAGGTAGCAACGACTAGGCAGAACAAAGGTATTCAGATGTTCCAATCAGACATTTCTATCTCTAGATTTCCTTAACATAATTTTTAGAGACACAAGAAAGAACTATGGATTTTAAGAGTCTGAGGAATAAAACATTTTACAACGGTGTTCTTCCAGACAAGATTAAAGGCCAACTTTTTGATGACTCAAGTGATCCTCGAAAAGGAATCAGCAGCTTTAGTAAGCCAGTTCACCTCTTTTATATAATAACTACTATAGATGCATCATCAATCGTACCTGATTTTAGCTTCACCAAGGGAAAGAAGTAATTGAATATTCTGAAAAATATAGGAAACGAAAATTTGCTAAAAGTCAAGACAAGAATAACTTATTCAGAAGTATTAGACAGAAATTGAGAAGGATTCAGAATGCAACAAGTTCTGAAGATCTTTCCATGCTAAAGGCTGCCAGTACTTCACAACCTGTTACTCTCTTTAGCATTCAATAGGCCTGATAGAATCAGAGAGGTGTTCAAGCTAAAGACTCCTGGCAAATAAGGATTCCAAGATTATGGATACATTGAAGAAAGAGCGTTTGAAAAGAAGGAAAGACAGGCTTCAACTGAAGTCTCAGCAGAAGCTAAAGAAGCAAGTCTATGAGATTTGTAGAAGCTGAGAAAGATACTCAGTCCAGAGTCAGAAGGAGTACAAGGAGATGTCATATCAAAGGCTCTGTGAGTTCCTTAAGATGAATGAATTCGATACAACTTTTGGAATCGGTAATTTTGATAATTAATAAATTTAGTTAAAGAACTTGAGTTGAGCTATGGCAAACCAACAGCTTTTACTACCGGAACTAACGGCCAAGACCTTTCTGCTCTGAAGAATTTATATGAATATAAAGTTAAAGAAATTGAAGACAACCGTAAAGAAGCCAACAAGATTGAAAGAGATTATCACACCGGAGTCATGGATCCAGCGAGGCTTGTTGCTAAAATTGAGAAGCAAATCGCTATTAAAAAGAATGTGGGAACTAAGCTGAAAGTCACAGAAATGCTGAAAAAGAATCAAGATAAAGAATAATTTCAATGCCTAATCATCAGAAGGGGTTTTGGGGTTTTGGGGTTTTGGGGTTTTGGGG